AGGCAGATCGACAAAGTACACTGCTGAGGGGAGCAGCGGGCGGGTCAGGAGAGGTCTGCCACGCCATGTGGTCTCCTCGGGGGCAGGCGGGAATTGAACTCATGTGGAAGTGGCTTTAGCTTCTCGGTGCAGTGCTTTAACCCACTGTGCCACCAGGGAGGGCCCACTGTCCTGTCACTTTTAGGAAAGAAGGTTTTTTTTTTTTAATGTGAGGGAAGTTTCGTTCAGTAATATGAGCAAGATAATGTAAAAAGTTAAGAGATTGCCTGGGGAAAGAGAGTTCTTTCCTTAACTCTCTTTTATTATAAAGATTTATGTATGCATATAAGAGCTGGGATATAGGCTTGAGGTGGGGTTGGGAGGCAAGAGGATTCATGAGAAACAGTGGGCAGCAGAACAGGCAAATGTACTGAAATACACTGCTGAAGGGAGCCGAGTGGGAGGTGGAGGGAAACTGGAGAGGTCTGCTGTGCCTTGTGGGTCAGTTCTCTAGCTGGGGATCAAACTGGCAATAGCTTGATAGTGCTGAGACTTAACCCCTTGCGCTACCTGGGAGGTTCTCTTTCTTTAACCCTTTGGAGGAATTAATGGAAGAAGTGGTGCTAGACCATGGTCATAAAATATTTGATAGTTTGTCTTACTTTGAATATATACTGGCCTTACTGAGCTTCAATTAAATGAGTTTAGTAAACCTTATGGGGGATTCCATTCCATTCTACCCTCCATTTCTCACTTCCCATTCCAAATGCTTATACTTTCATTCCTCTAATTGAATGCACATTGAGGAAGCTTGTGAAAAAGAAAATAACTTGAAAGGGTTCATAATCAGTTGCAGAAATGATATGAATTATTCAAGTGGCTATTCAGTGATAATGGATTTGTTTGATACCATTGAATAGGAAATTAAAGAATGAATTGAGTGCTTATTAAATTTTCCATAGGGTTGTAAATATAAAACATATTTAAAAATCTTAATTTGTGATTTTTCGGAATTTTCAAAGGTAATTTGACTTGTACCTAATCTCTGAATAATTTGAAATGCCATTAAAATTGAAATAAAATCTGGTTAGGTCACACTTAAGAAGCAGATCTTTGTAAAGTATTCAAAGGGTCCATTTCTTTTTCCTTTCAGTTTTGACCTCTAGAAAATAACATTTCTAGAAATAGAATTCTCTCACCCACACACTTCTGGCCTGTACCCCAGTTCTGTAAGCATAAATAAATGAACTTTACAAAATTTAAAGATTTACTTAATGATTTAAGAACTGGGGTACAGGCCAGAGGTGTGTGTGTGGAGGGGGGAGGGGTTAGAGGTGAGAGGATTCACCACAGACAGAGTGGGGAGCAGAACAGGCAGATCTACTGAAACAAACTGCTGAGAGGAGCAGTGGACGGGTCAGGAGAGGTCTACTGCGCCATGTGGGTGTTCCCTGTCAAGGGATTGAATTTGTGCTGCAGTGGCTGCAGATAGCTTCATAATACTATTCTTTAGCCCATTGTGCCACCAGGGAGGACCCTCCATTGAGTATTCTGTGAACCTATTTTCTTAAATTACGTTCTGCAGTCACTTCACACGACAAAATGTTGCTTAACGATTATGTTTCAGAATATATTCTTTCATTGCTTTTAGAGCATACTAAGTCAAAATAAGGTCACAGAATTTTAATGTTAATGATTTTTTAAAAATCTGAGCACACAGTATACTTTTCTTATCGAAATGTCATAGAGCCATAGCAGCAGAAACAGAAAAGATGTCCTGGAGGCACATATTGTTCAGTAAGGAAAGTTTGGCACTCAACATCCCCCCAGTTCTTGATCCAAAGGCAGTATTTGTTGTATTCTAAAGCAAATATAATTACAGCAGTCATTTATTTTAAATTATCAATAATCCCTTTCAAAGAGTAAATGAGAGTGTAATAATTTGAAAGTGTTACTGTTTTGAAGAAAGAACTTTCTGACTTTCTCTAAAAATTTTCCTTATGTTAAGTAGCTCTCTTAAGAGGGATATGTTCTACTAATATGTATTACAAATTATTCTGGAGATCATTATGATGACTTCTTTTGTACTTGAATTATTCATGTTCTATAGAGAAATGCCTAACTACATTAAATGTGTCTAAGTTGTTTGGCAAGATTTGTAAATACAAAGTGGTTAGAAAAAGGGAACTGAATTTAAGATGGTGTTGTTGCCTTTTGTATAGGAAGTAGTTCCACTGGAGCACCCTTTCAGTGCTGTGAAACAAGAGCAGCAGAGAAAATTGATTCAAGAGTTAAAAAAACAAATAGAAGATGACCAACAAAGGAAAATAGAGGAAAAAGCCATATTGTCAAAGGTAACTTATGATTAAGGGGAAAAAAAAAATAATGAACAGCTATACACCAGAGACATTTTATGGGGGTGGAGTGGGGAATGTGTTCATAAACAGTGTGGAGGAAGGAAGTGCACTGAACTATGGTGATGGCACACGGGTGATTTGGTGATGGGAAGCCTACGGGGTTACAACTGAGATGAAACGCACAAAATGATGTAAAAATAAACTTATATTATTAAAAATATATATATTACATAAATTATATATTACATATAACAATATATAAATTATGCCACTATTATACGTAAAATATAAATATATATAACTGTATATTATTAAAATATATACTTATAAATTTTTTTAAGGTCATAAAGGAAAAAATAAGTCACAGTTTTGTTTTTTTTTTTTAAAGATTTATTTATTTATGCATCTAAGAGTTGGGGTACAGGCCAGAGGTGTGGGTGAGAAGAATCACCAGAGACAGAATGGGGAGCAGAATAGGCAGATACACTGAAATACACCGGGAGCAGTGGGTGGGTAAGAGAGGTCTGCCATGCATGTGGGTCACCTCCTTGCCTGGTTATCGAACTCATGCTGCAGTGGCTGTGGGTAGCTTCATAGGGCTGTGCTTTTAACCCATTACGCCACCAGGGAGGGCCCACATAGTGTTGAATTGTAAACTTTATTCTTGAAACTATTGTACTAAAACATTTGAGTATTCAAATTCTTCCACATTTGCTTATATGATCCTTTCATTGAATGCCTTTAGTGATTTTTGCATAGCTTCTTGTAGGTGACTTTTTAGAAATTTCCTGTATGTTTGAATTTTCAATATTCAATTGGTTATCTAAATATATACTGAATCAGAATAGTTTTATTTATTTTTATGATGCTTATCTTACTCTTAGAAATCATGTCTGTCATTAGATTTTATATGAGAACAGTTGGAAAAAATTCTTAGTAATTCTTTTTTTGTCATAATTAGGGTGAGGAACATGACAGATGGGCAATGCATTTTGATTCATTAAAGAACTATCCTGATTCTCAGTCTCAAATGTCCTCTCGGTCAACACACAAACAACCAGAGTACTTCTGTGTCTCTCCAGACACTCAGGAGCTGACTGATATTAGCAGTGTTTATACTCCTACAACTGGAATCCAAGTTGAAGCTTCAGAGGAGGCGCATATAGGAAAACCTGTTAGGGATGTGGTTATGCCAAACAGTCAGAAAACAAAGTAAGTCTGTTCTGCATTATTTGTTGATGTTAAAGAAAACCTACGTTTGGTTGTGATTGTTATATAACACAACATCTTAATAAGGCTTCAGGTTTTATATATATATATTTTTAATAGAAATGATCAATATATCCCAAACAAAAAATTATTTAATACCTAACTAAATACATCTTTTGGGGGTTTTAAATAGCTAATATATCTACCTTGTCAGCTTTCTCCGTTCTATGACTGCTCTCTTGGACCCCGCTCAGATTGAGGAACGAGACAGACGGCGGCAGAAACAGTTAGAACATCAGGTATTGCATTGTAAAACGTTCTCTGCATTAGTATTTCAGCATTCATAACTAACTGATACCTCAAAAATGGACATTAAAATTCCAGTATAAACTTATTGCATAGGCCCAGGCCCAGGATTTAATCCTGACTGCAGCTGGCATTGTGTTAAAAGTATACTTAACACTGATTACCAGATAGAATCTCATAGGACAGCCACCTGCTTTCTGAGAGAGAAAGTCTTTAATAAATTGGTGTGTATGTAAAACTACAGTAAATCTCAAGTTTTGGCGTTAGAATTTTTTAAAAAGATTTATTTGATTATGCATATAGAACTGGGGTACAAGTCAGAGGTCGAGGAGCATTAAGAGGATTCACCAGAGACAGAGTGAGGAGCAGAACAGACAGATCTGCTGAAATACACAGCTAAGGGGAGCAGCAGGTGAGACAGGGGAAGTCTGCTGTGCCATATGGGTCACCTGCCTCGCTGGGGATTGAACTGGTGTTGAAGCAGTTTCAGCCAGCTTCATAGTGCCACCAGGAAGGGCCTGGTATTAGAAATTTTATCAATTCAGCTCAGGTCTCCTGAATTCTGTTTAAGATGACAATTAGTTCTTTGAAAGTGAAGTATATATGAGCTTCAAGTAAAATTATGAATAAGAAATCTAGAAGTTTATATGAAGAAAATTAAGGATAGATTTCTGTTAATCTAATATTAAAGGGCTATAACTGCCTAAATAATTTTTTAAAAACTAATGTGAAAATTTGGCTATCCTGATTCTCAGTCTCATGTAAACTCAGTCTAAGATTGTCTCTTAAGTCCCTTAGTATAACTAATACTACCCTCAGTCAGTTCAGTGAGCATTCAATTGTTTTTAACTAGTTTTTCTAATTTTAAGCCTCATGGCCTTAAAGCAATAGCATGTAAAATAATATTGAAAGGTGGAATAAATACATCAGAAATTTGACATTTTAGCTTTACTCATATATGTAATACTTTTGTTTACAGATTAGCTTATTAAAAAAAAACATATAAATGCTTTGTGAATTTCTCTATTTGTGACAATGATTTATATGATTATGACTAGAAAGCCATCACTGCTCAAGTAGAAGAGAAGCGCAGGAAGAAGCAGCTAGAAGAAGAACAAAGAAAGAAAGAGGAGCAAGAGGAGGAGCATCGTTTAGCACGGGAACGAGAAGAGATGCAGAAACAGTATGAAGAAGATATACTTAAGCAAAAACAAAAGGAAGTGGGTATTTAGAACTCTATCATTTAAGAGTAGAAAATATATTTTAAAGGAAAAATTAGAAGTTAAATTCGCATGCAGTTAGAAATGATGAAGCTATATGTGGAAACATGACAGCTTTCCATAAAGGTTATGAAAGTAAGGAGGAAGAGGTTTTATTACACTTCACAAATGCCTTTTTTCTTTCATAAGTGCTTTATTTCTTAATTTTGCTTTCTAAAGAAATTAAGATTAGTTAATTCCACACAAAGCAAAATATGCTTGATTTGAAATGTTTATTAGTAAATATTATAGATATGTTAAAAGATGGGCCGTTCTATTCCTTCTGTACTGGTGAGCAAATGGATTTATTTGCTGGCTGACTGGGATACAGTTTGTTGCTGTGTTAGAGATTTACACTGCTAAATAAGGATCTTTTTAAGAAGAGTAGCTATCTGGTTGACTAGGAGAACCCCCATATTAAATGATGTGGCTAACATCTGTTGGTATCAAGACCCATATTTGAGCTAAGCTGACAAAGAGCAAATCATAGATGACCTTTGATTACCACAGATTCATGAAGTTTGCAGAGTAGGCCATAGAGCATTTCCCCTGGAGTGGTGAGGTTGGACTAAGAAACTGCATTTTCTTGACCTTTCTCACTTGCAAACTTCACTCCAAAATTAGTTGATAAAGAGGCACATCATCCTTGGTTCCAATTTTTTTTTTTTTTATGTTGACTAGATCAAGCCAACTGTATATGTGAAATAATGAGGCACATGAAAAAAAGCAAAGTATCCTTAACTAAACTGCAAGGAATGAACATAAACTTCTGTTTACCTTTTAAGTCTTTTTAATGTAATAGAATCCTAGTAGAATTGACCATAAGTTTTAGAAACTTTGAAAATTTATTAGTGTAAACTTGGGTGGCTAAGAGTTCTTATATCTGTGATCCAATATCTAATATGCTTATAGAACAAGATACTAAAATTAAGGTTGTAAAGGGAAGGAGCTTTGTCCTATTAACTACTCGCAGTATATATTTTTAAAGATTTATTTATTTATGCACACACGAACAGGCCAGAAGTGCAGGGGGAGGGAAGGGTGGTGAGTAAATCACCAGACAGAGTGGGGAGCAGAACAGGCAGATCTACCGAAATAACTGCTGAAGAGAGCAGTAGGCAGTTTAGGAGAGGTCTTCCTGGCCATGTGGGTCAGCTCCCTGGCTGGGAATCGAGCTTGTGCTGCAAGTGGCTGCAGATAACTTCATAGTGCTGTGCTTTAACCTGTTGCACCACCGAGGAGGAGCCTACTCAAAGTATTTTTGAATAGTTGTCTAGCACATAATTGGAGCTTAGAAAGTAGAGTAGTTCTGTACATGTTTTAATGATTACATTTACAAATTCTGTACTGCAATATTGATAGGAAATTATGACTCTCAAAACAAATGAGCTGTTCCAGACAATGCAGAAAGCGCAGGAACTGGCACAGAGACTGAAACAGGAACAGAGAATTCGAGAACTCTCTCAAAAGGGACATGACACATCTGGATTGATGAAAAATCTTGGTGGTAAGCACAGCTAGAATTTTACTTTAAACATTTTTAAAAGATGGTTTTAATTGTCCTTTGTTATTTTTTCTTAACTGCACAAATAAATGAAAGCATGTGGTACTTGTCTGATTTCACTTAGCATGAGGTCCTCAAGGTCCATTCATGTTGTAGATGGCAAGCTTGTTGTTTTTTTTTTAAGTATCACATTGTGTGTGTATATATTTGTTTTTAAAGCTTTATTTATGCATACAGAACCTAGGTATAGGCCAGAAGTGCAGGGGTTGGTGAGTGGATTTACCATAGCCAGAGTGGGGAGCAGAACTGGCAGATCGAATAAGTATACTAACGAGACAGAAGAGGTCTGCTCGCCATGTGGGTCACCTCTGGGGTGGGGATCGAACCTGCACTGAAGCAGCCACAGCTTTTTTTTTTTTTAAGATTTATTTATTTATGGATACGGAACTGGGGTACAGGCCAGAGGAGTAGTGGGTGAGAAGATTCACCAGAGACAAGAGTGGGGAGCAGAAGAGGCAAATAGATGAAGTACACACTGTTGAAGGGAGCAGCAGGCGGGTCAGGAGAGATCTGCCACACCATCTGGGTCAGCTTCCTTTTGGGGGGGGGGAATTGAATTCGTGCTGTAGTAGCTCAGGTGAGCTTCATAACATAATGGATACTTTAACCTGTTGCGCCACCAGGGAGAGCCCAGCCACAGCTTTTTTAAGTGCTGCGGTTTAACCCACTGCATCACTAGGGAGGGCCCAATGGAGGTTTTTTTAATGTAACAAATATATTCCATTATGTATATATACACAACCGCTAACATACACACCATTTTCTTCATTTATTCATCATTTAGTTTATTTCCTCGTCTTGGCTATTGTGAATAAATGCTGTAGTGCATACATAGGGGTGCATATATCTTAACATTAGTGTGTTTTTTTTAAGATTTATTTTTATCTACGCATTCAAAAATGGGTATAGGCCAGAGGTGCAGAGGGTAGGGGGAGAATGAGAGGATTCACCAGAAACAGAGTGGGGAACAGAACAGGAGGATAAACTAAAATACACTGCTGAGGGGAGCAGCGGATGAATCTGGAGAGGTCTGCTGTGCCATGTGGGCTATCTCCCTGGCCAGGGATTGAACTCAGGCTGCAATGACTAGCAATAGCTTGAGAGTGCTGAACCTTTAACCCCTGTACCATCAGAAAGGACCTGGTTTTGTTTTCTTAAGATAAATAGCCAGAGGTGGAATTGCTGGATTATATAATTTCTTAGGAACCTCCATATTTTCCTTAGTGGCTGAATTATAAGCTATATTCTCAGTAGCGCCCAAGAATTTCCTTTTTTTTTTTTTTTTTTTTAATATAACAGCCAGTTCTAACAGGTATTAGAGTGATGACTTCTGGTTCTGATTTTCATTTCCCCAGTGATTAATGTTGGCTCTAGTTATCTTCTTTGGCAAACATGGAAACATGTTTGTTCAGATCCTTTGCACAATTTTTTTTTTTATTACAAAGTTTATTTTTTCATCATTTTGCACATTTTTTTTTCCATCTCGATTGTAATCCCCGCGGGTTTCCCATCACCAAATCACCCCTGTGCCACCACCATAGTCCCGTGCATTTCCCTCCCTTCCCCCCCCGTTTTTGATCCCATTCCCCACTCCACCCCCACAGAATGTCTCTGGTATATGGTTGTTAATTATGTTTGTTATTTTCTCGCCTGGTCCATTATACTCCTGCTATGAGTGAAACCATCCGGTATTTTTCTTTCTCTTTCTGGCTTATCTCACTAAGCATGATCTTTTCCAGCTCCATCCAAGTTGCTGCAAAAGACATGTGTTTCTCTTTTTTGGTCCTTTGCACAATTTTTAGCTGAATTTTTTTTTTCTAGTAAGTTGTATGAGTTCTTCATATTTTGGCTTTATTACCCCCTTAACCAGATTTGCAAGTATTATCTCTTAGTGGGATGCCTTTTCATTTTGTTGGTTTCCTTTGCTGTACAGAAACATTTTTAGTTTGATATGGGCCTACTTGTTAATTCTGCTTGTATATCCTTTGCTACTGTTGTCAAATCCAAAAAAATTCCTGTAACAATGTAGAAGAGCTTACTCTGTTTATTTTTAGGAGTTTTTATGGGTTCAAATATTTCATATATTTTAATTTTTGTGTAGTCATTTCATTCTTTCACATATGGCTGTTCTGTAGTTTTCTCAGCACATGTGTGTATACATATACACATACGTACTGTGTGTGTATATGTATATATATGGATATCTATATCTATATATATACAAAACTATATACACACACATACTGTTGTCATTTCTTAGCTCTAATCTATCCCACTGATATGTGGCTGACTTTATGCCAATACTACATTTTTGGATTATTTTAACTTTGCAATTTAGTTTGAAATCAGGATACATGATTGCTGTTTATCAAGACTGCTTTGGTTACTTGGAATCTTTTGTATTTCCATACAAATTTTAGGATTATTCTGTTTTTGTGAAAATAGCAGTGGGATTCTGATAGGACATTTTTTCAAGATTTATTTATGCATACAGAACTGGGGTAAGTTAGAGGTGCAGGGAAGGTAGAGGTTTCACCAAAGACAGAGTGGGGAGCATAACAGGCAGATGGACGAAGTACTGAGGGGGAGTAGTGGGTGGGTCACCTCTGGGGCTGGAATCGAACTCATGCTGAAGTGGCTTTAGCTTCTTAGTGCTGCTTTAACCCACTGCGCTACCAGGGAGGGCCCTTGATAGGGCATTTTAGTAATATTCTTCCAACCTATGAGCAGACTGTCTTTCCATTTATTTGTGTCACCTTTGATTATTTAAAATAATTTCGAGGCCCTCCTGGTGGTACAGGGGGTTAAAGCGCGCACTGTGAGGCTGTCTGCAGCCACTGTGGCACAAGTTTGTTAATGGCCCAGGAGGTAGCCCTCTCCTGTTTGGCCACTGCTCCCCTAGCAATGTATTTCTGTCAGTCTGCCTGTTCTGATCCCCACTCTTGGTGAATCCTCTCACTCCATAAATGAAACCCAAAATATGGAAAAAAAAAAAATAGCTGTGTTGAAAGTATTAAAAACAGGAAATTAACTATTCAGATTTGTGCTAGTGTATAAAATACCTTATTTGGGAAACTGCTTTAAAAGTAATGTTATGCTTTTTACTATCTCACATAAATTTTCTTAAATTTTACTCACAATGGGTAAAATCTGTACTTTTATACACCAAGAAATCTACTGATATCCTAAATTCAGTGAATTAATGGTGCAAAATGATTTCAGGCTGTCCTTCTAAATCTCTGTTGCAATGTTCATTTTTGTTTGCTTCAAAATTTTTTTTTTTTTTTTTTTTTTTGGGCTACACATAGTATCATTGTTTCTGTACTGTCATAAGATATTTTACTAGTTGATATAAGTGGAAAACAGTACATCAATTAACAGCATTTCAAAATCAAAACAGGCTTGGATGAAGTCAGTGGTAAAATGAATTCTACGACCTCACCCAAGAAGGATACTGGTGTGCAAACAGGTATTCATTTAGAAATTGTAATCTAAGTTTACTTGTTACAGTTCAGTCAGTGCAACTTAAAATTAATGTAATTCTAGGCTTGATAAGAATTAGAAAATAAAGGGATTTCTTAGTTTTGGTAAATAGTTTCTCCATTGCAACTGTATCAAGAAATTATAGCAAAATTAACCCCTTTGAAGGATGTAATTTTTCTGAGTACAATTTAGTTTTCATTTCTCTGTATTTGCCTATTTATGGATATTTCATATAATTAGAATCATACTGTATGTGTTCTTTTGTGTCTACAATCTTTAAAATCCATTCATGTCAGTATGTCATTCCTTTCTATCATGGAATGTTTTACGGGCATATCCATATTGTTTATTCCTTCATCAATTGACATTTGGGTTACCTCCACTTTTGGCTACTACTATCAGTGTGTTGCTCTGGTTGTTCATGTACGTGCAGGTTTTTGTGTAAACATGTTTTTCAAGTCTCTAGGGAGAGATGGGTAGCTTTGTTGAGTCATGCAGCAGTAACTCTAGTATCTTTGCAACTACAAAAATTCTCTTCAAAGAGACTGCACCATTTGGCATTCCCACCAGCAAAGTATGAGGGTTCTTTTCTCCACATCCTTACCAATACTCTTCTTCCTCATGGAGGTGTGGTATCTCATTGTGGTTTTGATTTCATTTCCCCAGTGACTAATGATATTGAGCATCTTTTCATACACTAAAAAATTTTATAGATAATATAATATCCATGTTGAGTAACTTTAACATAGGTCTCTATACTTACAAGTCTTTTTAGGCCTTCTGAACCTGTCAGACGGACATTTAGCTTTCTAAGTAGCTTCCAGAATTTCTTTTCCTCTTTTAAAAGATTTATTTATGCTGCCAGAGGTGTGGTAGGTGAGAGGTTTCACCAAGACAGAGTGGGGAGCAAAACAGGCAGATTTACTGAAATACATTGCTGAGGGGAGCAGTGGGCAAGTCAGGAGAGGTCTGCCATGCCATGTGGGTTACCTCCCTTGCTGGGAATTGCTGCAGTGCTTGAACCTGTTGTGCCACCAGGGAGAGCCCTACCAATTATCAGTGGGCCCTTCCTGTTGGTACTTTTGGTCTTTGGGAACCCTGTGGTAACTTAAGAGCCAAAAAACAATTTGGAATTAATACAGCTCTAAGAATATTAGACCATTGAGTTTTAGTAGTATAGATCTTCAATCTAAAAATGTCTTTAAGGGTTGCAGTACTATTTGGTGTTCCACTGAAAAGTAACAAATTTAATATAAATCCTACATGTCAATTACAGGAAAGTGAACTTTTTAGTAAGATAGGGAAATTAGAACTGAATCACCGTAATTAGGGTTTCAAAAGGAATACATTAAAAGTTATTTTTAGAAGGGTATTATTTCTAAAGGATTGGATGTAAGAAAATCCCATAGCATTGTGCTCTTGCTGTTGCACTAGCAACATGCACATGGAAGAGAGGATGTATTGTATGTATAGTTCCTCTTGTGAGAAAATTTGGCGGTGGTTGGCACATTCTTAAGAGATGGAAAGAGGAGTACGACAGAGAAGGTGGAATGAGTACAGGGCTTCTGCTAAATTGGAATCCTTGAGGATTGCTGATGGGAACATAAAAATGGTGCAAACAATGTAGAAAATAAAGTTACTTTATAACCTGGTAATCCCATTTTGGATTTGAAAGTATGGCCTTGAAAAGGTATTTGGGCATAAATGTTAACAGTGTGATTCACAGTAGTCAACAAATGGAAGCAACCCAAGTGTCCCTCTAAGGTGACATAAAATACAGCATGCATATACATGTGTATGTATAAACACACAGGGGTAGATCAGATGGATGAACTTTGAGGAAAGCAAAATAAGGTAAATACTGTTATGACAAAACTTTATAGAATGGTAGTTTCCAGGGACTAGGGGAAGGAGGAGAGGTGTTATTTAATGGGGATCAATGTCAAAATAAAAGGGTTGAGATGGTTATTTTTCACTACAATTTAAGAATCACCTGAACTTTTTCTTAAAGATGACTTAAATACAGGCATATTCACCAATGATGAGTCACACTGTGGATCATTACTAGAGAAGGAAATTGTATATTGTTCATCTCCAGAGATACCTGCAGATTTTAATGAACAGTTTAATACTAAGAAAAGCAAACAAGAGCTAATAAGTCAAGATAAAGGAGCCAACTTAGAAAAAGAGAACAGTTGGTATAATGACCAGTTCATAAGAACAGAGAAACATACGAAGAAATGTTCTAAACGACCTGACTGGAATATAAACAGACCAATCAAAAGGTATATTCCAGCATCAGAAAAATATCCCAAGCAGCTGCAAAAGCAGAGAGAAGAAAAAAAAGTAAGAAGGCAAATGGAACTGCTTCATTTGTTAGAAAGAAATAATCGTGGGCATCTCTCTCAAACTAGAAGCACCTCACCAGAAGTTCTTCACTCACCTCAAGAAACTGAGTCATGGGTCAGGTGGCAACTAGTTAAAAAGGTACACTCCTTAAAAATGTATTTTAAAGCATTTGTTTCTAGATTAAAAACACAATTTCCTTATATACATACTGTAAAGTAACAAGAATTCTAGAAATTTGCTTTAGTTTATACCTGGATTGGAAAACTGGGCCAACTCATATTGCTGCCTGTTTTTCTAGTTTTGTAGGAACATTTAACCATTCTCGGGCTCTACACTACAACAGAATTCATAGTACTGAGATTAAAAACTGTGATCGACAATGCTTTTGCTTTGGATTATAATCAGTTTTTTTGCAGAAAAATTTATACAAGATTAGGGATTGGCGCTCTCTGGGAAAAAATATAGTCTGTCTCATTATCCACTGTTACTCAGGTATCCATATATTTCAGTGTAGTCACCAAAATGTGGGGACATAACTCATTATGCCTTTCTGTATCTACTGATCTTTTAGGAAGAAGAGCCTATGAATACTAATTCCTTCAGCAGAGAAAGGTATGTGGTCCAAAATATTTGTTCAAATGTATAACAGTAGCCTACAGATTTAAGGTTGGGCGGCTGGCATTTTACCTAGAGCTTAAAGGCCCGAGGGCCTAAGCATCCTAGGGAGAAATGGGGGGTGGTGGTACATCTAGATATAGCTAAACAGTTTTGTTTTTCCTGCTACATCAACAGTGGAATAAACATGGGTTGAAGAAGAAATGATTGGTAGGGCTTGAGAGTACTACCAACTATAGGAGAATTGAATGTTTTAAGTGTCAGAAACTAGCTAGTATAGAGTTGTTTCAGAATGTGGATCTAATATCAAGTTCAATTCAATACATTTTATGATGAACTATATATGAAGAGAAACAGTGAGATCTAATAGTTTAACTTCTGTGCTAGAGGCACATATAACCTCAGTAAAAGTAAAGGTGTATTTTAGCATGAGTTAAAATGTGATTACAAACTATGCTTGAAATGGTATTGAAGCTAATCCCTAATTGCTCTTTTGGTGGGGGTGAGGGGTTACAGATCCCAGTCACCACCAGTTCCAGCAGTGAAAAACAGAACACAACAAACTCAGACATTCAAAAACAGTTACGAAGGAGATAATCAAAAAGAGTTGTCTGGGATTTCTGAACCATCCCATTTTATTCCCTATGTCCGAACCAATGAGATCTATTACCTTGATCCAGACGCACCATTGTCTAGGCCTTCATCCCAAGATCTTCAGAACCAAAATCCACATGGTAAGTAAATATAAATACCCTCAGTCCAGATGATTAGGTTCCTGTGGCCTAAGTGCAGAGAATTTCTCTTTCCAGGGAGTAAATTTAATGAATCCTAGAACATAGGATAGAGCACTATAACCATTAGACTTTTTATCATTTCAGATTGTGACCATGAAAGACAGCTATTTGACCAAGGAAGGGACCCACTTTTTAATCCCAATTTGGTGAAAAACAGAGATCGACAGCAAGCAATCCTTAGAGGACTATCAGAACTGAGACAGGTATGATCCAGTGTGGATGTCCTTTTTGGTGTATGGCTAGTAGGGCTTAGTAATTATTTTTTCACATGATTTGTGATGTTTAAGAACTTCCACAAATTGCATAGAAATGAACAGGACTTCTCATTGTAACCTTTCCATCATGAAAATCATGACACAGTTCAAGGATTTCAGACAACTTTATTCAATGAAAATTACATACATTCAGAGGGCAAAACAGTTATAAATCAACAAAACCCTAAAACCAGGAAAAAAAACACAATTATGCTTTAGTAATTTTGGGTGAAAAAATGGTGGTGGTATTGTAAACAAACATTGACAAATTATTCCCAGAGACTCTTCAGTGTATATTTATAACCTTACTCACCAGGCCAATTATGATTTTGTGAGGTAATATTCCCCTATTTTAAGGCTCTAAATTTTGGCTGGTTATAGGAAAAAGTGGCCTGCAAAACTGATCCTACAGGTAGTTTTGTTTCAGTGTTCTCTAGCAAAGAAAAAAAAAAAAGGTATCTGCCTGTAAGGTTACTATATTCAACACGAGATGTTTTTTGCAGCATTTACAGTGCAGGGGGTCTAAAAACCCTGTATGGGTGGGAACTTGGTTATAACACTTTTCAAACTGAAAACAAGATAGGAATGTAAAAGGGCAATAATTTACAGGGCTGTTACATATTACTAAACATATCAATATGATTTCAGGGCCTTCTCCAGAAGCAGAGAGAGTTGGAAACTAACCTCATGCCTTTAGCTGAAAATCAAGAGGAGAACCTTACTCCTTCATTTTCAATGTAGAAAATGAAATCTTCACATTTGAATCTTCTAAACTTTAGACTGTGCTTGTGGCTTAACTATATACACTTTAGACTATCTGAATTTATATTATGTAGTAAATTTACTTAGTTTTGCATATATATACATACAATAAAATACACTTTTGTAAAAGCTTTGTCATAATCAGAGTTGTTAAGTCTATAAAAAACACATTCTACTTACCTTACAGTCTGGACTTTCTGCCCTGTTAACAGACAATATTACTTTATAAATCAAAATACAACTTAATATGTTCTTTTTTTGTTCCATAAAAACATTTGAAAAGGTATAGTTCTTTCAGGTAACTCATAGGCTTGTGTAAAAACAACTATTTTCTAAATCCTTGCTCTAAAACAGCAGTTTTCATTTACAAGTTGATGCAATTATCTGAATGCTATATATGTGAGTGATAACTATCCTACCCTCACAAATAGTCTCAAAGTTGTCAAAATTTCTGTTATCAAAGAAAAAAAGGTAACGTTGACCAAAATTTTTATCAAGAAGTGACTTTTTACATTGTTAAACCTAAAAGGATAAAAAATAAAGCTGCTTGGCATTACTGTATGTACACGGTCACTTAAATGAAACAGCACGGTTAGGTGGATCTTGAGATACCAAGCATTGCTCTTACACTTGTATAAAAACACTACAAAAATGTAAATCAAAAATACAATACTGCTCAACAGAGAAAGGAAAAACGCCATTGCTATGTAAGTATCTAGAAAACAGGCTTCTGTTTGCAGCCTAAGTGCAGGTGGCCTATAAATGTAAAACTGCAAAGTGCCAACATGAGATAATTCAAGTACAATATATGTTAAAAATATATATTTATTTCAATTTTTAGATGCTTCAACTGTTACAGGCTATCATGATTTAAATAAACATTTGAGAAAAGACAATAACCTTTTGTTTAAAGAATGAAATATAAATTGTTAATTCACGTTTAAGAAACAAAAGTCCTTATAACTATTTAAAAAAAAAAGTTGAGATTATTTCTCTTTTGAATATGGCCTGGAAGAGCCACTTTTCCCCCAACTTAAGGGAGATGGAGATTTTTCTCTATCCAAACTTTGAGTATAAACAGATAAGAAGTAATTTTCACCTTCTTGACACTGACTTGATGGAAGGGCATATGGTGTCCTCAAAAATGTCTGATGAGTGAGAACGTTAAAATGACTAAACTGGTGGGACATATTTAATTGACTGTGATAGACCTGAAAGTTGCTATATGAGTCTTGTTCAGATGAATTGCTGTTCTCTCCTCCAGAGCATACTTTATTGATAGAAGCTTTCTCTTCAGAATCAATTTGATAAGTCTTATCTTCTAATAAACTTTTTTGCACGTCAAGAGACGATTGCAACTCAATTTGAATATTCTTTTTTTGATCTGTTCCACGTGATCCTTTGGTCTCTTTCGCCAATATTTCTGAATGAAAATTGCTGCATACTTCTATTTGTGAGATTTCATCCCCTGAATCCAGAGACATATCCTCTTCATCCTTTTCATCGTTTTCTAAAAGAGCTACATTTAAAAAACAAAAAGTCCTCCTCTATTGAAATACACAATTTGTTTAAGTTTTAAAATTATACACTACTCACACAATATAATGCGTCAGGGTCTGCAAGTCCACAATCCCTTAAAGCTTGGTCTTCTGCCACAAGTTCACTTAGTCACAACACTCACACTAGGTGTGAATGTCCAGACAATCCGATGCTAAAAGCTTCTGCGAAATGTGTTCACGTTTAATGTTGGGAAATCCCAACTCCCAGCTCCAAAGGGGTTAATGTCAATACAGCATCTAAAGTTATACGGTAATTCAGTATTTGATAAGACAAATGTAAAATAAAAATTTTGACATCTAGCTTCACTGGATTACTACTAAAGTATCAAATGTTTGCTCACCTCTGCTTTTACATGAGAAACAAAGTACATCCTTCACTTTATGTAAAACATGGAATCAAAGCAGAGGCCATCTCTTTCTTACATGACTGAAATTAAACTGCTTTGTCTATCTGGGGATTGTCTAGTAACCCAATGTTACAACCCCTTATTTTTTTTCTAAAAACACAGTAACCCCTTTCCTTTTCTAACAGTACAGTAATAAACTTTTTATACTGAGGAAGAGGATGCCTACTCTATTACAGCCCGTATACAGTAACTTGTATTGACTAAAGTATAGAAATGAGTAATTTTGTGCAAGCTATGAACTATAAACACATTGAAATACTTTACAATGATGTGAGTAGTTGCAAAGTGACATTGACATTTCATTTATCTGGCAACAAAGCAAAATCATTTCTTTTTCTGTCTGCCTTAAAGAAAATAAGAACTACTGAAAAGTTACCTGACTGTGACTCAAGAGTCTCGTTAGCACCAAGCAGTGGACGGTTTTCCTCTGTGAGTGAGTTGTGATAGCCCACAAGATTTTTAAAGTTTTGCATGAAGTCCTCTGCAGTTGCAACCACTATTCCATTATCAGTATAACTTGAAAGCATCTTGATATTCTTTTCTAAATCATAAAAAAAAATTGAGTATAAAACATTCAAAAATATATGGACAAAACAATGCTTTGTCTGTCCCTCACAGTCCTTTCTTTCCTCCATATCATCAGAATCAGGACACAGCCACCACAGCCCCATAAAATCCTTTCATCCACATTCCTATATGAGTAAAAAGCTTAACAATAGCTCACTCTACCTGTTAAAAAGACTATGTGTCTCTGCTGTATGTTTTGAGCCTGCAGTCTGATAAGGCAGTCCAATTCTGGAGCATTTCTAGTCTGAGAGTCACAGTTGTGGTAGGACAAAATTTCAACTAGATGTTTCTTTTGATAGACATTTAGAAGCGTCAAGAGATTCAGTGCTTTAGCATTCAATCTGTGAAAATAAGTAGGTTAGTATGTAATAATAAAAAATACATGGCTATAAACGGTTTCTATACCTCGGAGCATGACACAACTGAACAAATTACTGCCAACTCTAAGGAAGAAGACAATGTCAAGGTCTAAGTTTGAAGAAATGCTAGTTGCCAGTGGGAGCGTAGACTAGTTCAACTCCTATGGAAAACAGTATGGAGGTCTCTAAAAAGACTAATGATACACTATATGATCCAGCAGTTCCATTCCTAAGTATTTATCCAAAGAACACAAAAATTTGAAAGGAAACCTGCACCCCTATGATCACTGTAGCACAATTTACAACAGCCAAAATATGAAAACAACAGAAATATCCCCAAAACATGAGTGGTAAGATGTAGTACACACATATTCATATATATATGCAATAAAAAATGAGTGATCAAAAAAGATAAATGACATTTGCAACAACATGGCTAGAGCCAGAAGAGGGAGTGCTAACTAAAATAAACCGGGAGAAAGATAAATATTGGATGGTATCACTATATGTAGAACAAAAAGAAACCAAACTAAGAAAACCTTGAAAACTGAATATAATAATTGCTATGTAAATATCTACAAAACAGGCTTCTGTTTGCAGCCTAAGTGCTGGACAAGTCCTTATCCAAAAAGGATAAGGAGAAGAAAAACACCAAGGACTTGGTGGTGGATTATGGGTGATCTGGTAGCTTTAGTGGTAGTAACATTAGGTTATCCTAATGAAAAAAATTAAACAAATGCTGGTTAACACACACAAAAAACCCCCTACAAAACACCAATTCTTTTAACAGTTTCTGAGAACTTTAAATACAATATCCCAAATTCATCCAATTACATTCTCATGTATGGAGACTTAAATGCCTAGTGCTCCAGGGATCTCATCTTCATAAGTGACTAACATGCATGATAGGGGGAAAAAACCACCTAACAATATAAACAAACATCTTAGTCACAAGTCCCCATATCATGTCAAGATTACTCCTTGTCTCATTAATGCGGTGATATTGGGACAAATTTTACCTATACACAAGTGAGCATTTCAAGTTTCTACCTGAACAAAAAACACCACTTTCAAACAGGCTGCAATATACATTTCCTTCTGGGTAACTAAGGATACCTGTGAAAACTGGGCAACATCCATAATCTAGCAATAAAACAGAATTTTCAGGAACATGTTAAAAAAATCAACAACCACTGTATAGTTTATTTTCAAATCTTACCTGCCCATTTCCTTTAGTTTCTTCTGAAATTTACAATGGACTTTCCATTGCCATTTTCCTTCTGGAGTACTAAGTTCTTCAAGGAATGTCAAAAAAATTTTAAGGCTCTCTGTTATAAAAATAATAAATTTCATTTAAAATTTAATGAATGTTCACTTTACATCTTAATTATGGAATGAGTGTTTAGTTGATATTTAGATCTAATATAACATACACAGACACAAATGAACATGTTGCCAAAAACCTGACAAAAAACCAAAAGTGATCTAGTCCACACACAGGAAATATAGAGAGCCTTGCCTTATACCAAAGTAAGAGACTGGATAATAGAATGGAATAGAAGCTCAAGAAATTGATGGGACTGTACTATTTATTTTTGATTGGCAGAACACACAAATAGAATAAATCAGTGAGAAAAGACATGCCCAAAAAGAAACCAAAAATCTTACCGATTGTATAAATATCTGGATTTAGAATGGATTCATCTGAAACAATAAAACCTCCAGATACAAATAATTCGTTGTATGTATGATTTTTAACATCATCCAGACTATCAACACCAGCAAAACTAACACAGGGGAGCTTCTTTAAAGTCACCAAGCCAGGTACCTATTTAAAAACCAAATAAAAACAGAAGGGCACATAAAAAAAAAAAATAAGCTGACAGACTGAAGTATAAAGTAGCGTAGAAATCTAACATGTACTATGGATCTACTGGCATGTAGCTGCTGGGAAAGCTAAACACAAAAACATTCCCAACATTATTTTAAAATAATACATAAAATCATTGTTAATATACCCGCACCTGCCTCGAACAGAACACTAAGGGAAAGATCTGGAAACAAAATGGAGAAAGCACAGTCTGATCCTGTGAGTAGTCAGGAAAGGCTTTATAAGGTAGGAATGCCTGAGACAGACTCTTAAGACTCAGTGGGGCACCTGCAAATCCAGGGAAAAGGGCCTGGCTTTGCATACCTAATTGGGTGGGGGTACAAATACATAGTACCTGAGACATACAAGCGAAGATGAGAACAAAATAAAGAATCAGCAGACCCACTAGCTTTCCAAGAATCAGTATTCTTAGCCTTAACTGAGTGAGCATATGATATGTGGCAAATATAAATTTTTTTTTTTATCAAAGTACATGGATGGGTCATTTGAACTTAAAATCCCTCACTTCAAGGTTGCTTTCCTTTAAAATGAGAATATTTAAAATATCCCAAAAAAGGTAAGATTTTAAGGGAGTGGGTTTGGCTTAGTAGTCTACCTTGTGGATGAAACCTGCAATGTCTTCATTTTGAATAATAATCAATAGCTTATCTAACTTTGATCTTCTTTCCAAAAACTGTTCTGGATGACATTCTGTATTGCCTAGTTTGATAAGATACTCCTGTTAAAGGGGGGAAAAAATATAAGTGAATATTAAACAGTTTTTTTGCAAAAAGCACCATTTAATACCAGAAATGCAAGATAATCTGACATTAGAATACTATTGACTTCTTACTCCAAAGACTTCAAATATCATCAAATCTTACTGTAAAACAATCTAAATAAATGGCCATAATGTTACAATGTTGTGTAATCCAAGTCAATGAAATGCCAGGTCAAGTAAATGAGCTAACAGAATTTTAAGAACAATGAATTAGTCCAGGTTCTCAACCCAGCTCCATTATTATTTTTTTTTCAAGACTGATTTATCTATGCATACAAGAACTTGAGTAATGCCAGGTGTGGGGAGTGGATAGGATTCACCAGAGACAGGAGGGAACAGAACAAGGT